TGATCTTCAGCTATTTTATCTCATAAGATATATGTAGTTATCATATTTTATATTTGTATTTGTTAATTTAACTCTTAGTATACCTTAATATTGAACTTTTGTGAAATGTATATGTTATGGTTGTGTTGTGTAAGCTTTTACAGGTTGTAATTCAGTTGATTATAACTTGAACAATTTCCACTTTTTTGTGGTTTGATTATCACTGTATAATTTCGTTTTAAGACTGTTCTGTATGTGACTGAGTTCTATTTTATGAACTGTTCTTGTGTATGTTTTGATTTAATAGTGACTTGTTCTACATCCTAGGATTGGCCAAAAAGAATTTATTGAATTTAAAATAAATAAATAAATACACATGGAAATTGGTGTCAGAAATGGTTGGATTGGATTGACCAAATTATTGGACTGTACTGATGTGTGCATTGTTGGATTGTGATTCATGTGATGGATAATCATGGAGCCATTTGATAATGGAATAGCCAGTTGAGAATAAATGAAGTCAATATAGAAACTGGTCATGAACCCAGGAAAGCCGAAAGCAATACTGTTATGGAAGAAATGACCACAATGGATCTGCAGGACGTAACAAAGCATCAGGAAATCTCAAATAAAGGGGCCACATTAGAAACTATGGGAGAGCTGGTGGACAAATATGGGGACTGACATCTAGCTACAGGATGCTGCTGACAGCTGAAGAAATTGACCCCAGTGCAACAGTGGGTTCTGGCAGGAGTTGGCTGCTGCCCCCGGACAGAGGATCTGCAGTGCAGGAACAGCACGGCATAAGGGGCACAGCCATAAAGGACCAACAGTTGGAGAAGAGTGGAAAAATCTGACCAGGGGCCATTTCATACTAGGAATGTCATAAGTAAGGGATCAAGGCCTAAGACTGCAGCTATGTCTAAGAAGCAAGAGGGCATTCAACAAGACCATCAGGTGGCCTTTCAGACTGGAGGTCGTGAAGTGAGTAGTCAGGATTTCGATCGGGTTATGGGAAAGGAGTGATTGGACATTGTGAAGGGAGACAGCTCCCTCCAAAATGAAAGAAGGGACTACTAGCAGCTTAAGAGCCAGAGATGTAGGAACTTTGGCCACTCTCAGAATTCTCCAGATAGGAACTGTACATAGAAGTTCATGGTGATACATCAGGACTGGCATTTACCATATCAGGGAGCTGCTCAGAATGAGTGGCCTTAAGGAAGGAGCAGCAGGAGCAGTTGGAGAGCAATCACTGTGAGAAATGAACCATGAAAAGAAGATGAGACTGTTCACATGTGTTACAAGCACAGCCCTCAGGAAAAGAAGAAATGGTGGTACACCTGTAGGCTGATCAAGGTGAATAGCCTTAAGGAGGGAGAAATGTAGCATGTAGACCCATTGCTAGGTAATGGCCCATACACATGTAGCAGAGGAACATGTCATGTACGCGGCCACTTCACACAATAGAAGAGGTGTTGCAAGTCATGTTCTCTGTCATCTGCTCCGAGGCTGTATGACCCAACCAACTGAGCTCAGCTCAGTTAGTGAGTACAGTGGAGTGAAGTGAGTTGGTTGGTTGAACAATCAGTTACGGGACTGCTGAATTTCAGTCATTATGAATCATTGCTGTTAGATGCTGATAGCTGAGGCATAGAGATAGTTTCAGAACTCAGGGGAATATCTGCTGTGGGAAGCTGGTACCAATAAATGATTGGTGGAGACTGTAACTGAATGAGAACACTAGTCTGTATGTGATACTGATTTGTGAAGTGTAGTATCGAGTTGAATAAGTGCAATCAAACCAATTACCAATCCCATCCCCATATAAAGTCACTCTATCATGTGACAATATTTTTCTCAGAAAATATGGACTGGATTCATCTGGTTTAGGGTAGAGACCACTACTGGGCACCAGTGAACATGATAATGAACTGTCAGGTTCTTTAGAAGGCGAAGAATTTCTTGAGTAGCTTAGTGGCTCTCAGCTTGTAAAGAAGAATCCCTAATGCTAGTGTATAATACCATTTTACAGATTTCACAAGTATTACATCATTTGTGATCACACAAACATATTTTGTGTCTTCATGGTGTTATTTTCCACTCGTCTGAAAAGTTGTCTAAACAGTAATAATTTTCAGTAATCTACCACTGTACAGAAATTTAAGATCTTGCATTGAATGGCTTTACTGTAAATTCTACTGATAAAGTTCATGCCGTCAAAGTGTTTATTTTGTTGACAACAGATTGGATAGGCCAAGATGGGTGGGCTCCACTATCATGATATTTGTACAAAGGTTTGCAAAAATAAATGAATCAGTGTCTGTATTATGAAGGTAGGCAGAAAATTGAGGGCCATTTCAATAAAATAATCACACAGGCACTAGACATATTTTATCTTTTTGTATGTAATCAGTGTCCTTTTTTTTTGTCCATTCCATCCAGAATCCACAAGTTCCCTGATTTTGTTGGAATACAATTTTTTTTCATTTGTGCCTTAAGCCTTTGCCATGCCTCTTCTTTCAATGACTTCTACTCATTTTAGATACATTTTCATTACTGCTAACTTTTTTGTTGTCCTTCTTAGTAAGCATTAATACATGCCTCCCCAGAGTATGCATATACCTTCCTTTGAATTTATCAATATATTTTAAATGTTCTCACTCATATAGTCATCAGCATATTGAATTGTCATCCTTTTATAAATTTCCATAATTTTCACATACTCTGACCATCAAAATTGGATGGTAGGTCATCATATTCTTTTGTGCATTCTGTCATTAGAACATCCATACTAAATGTGTTATGGTATTATTACTACTCAAAAGATAGTGAAAAGCATCTAGTTGCAAAGTAGGTAATGTTCACCTTGTGTAAATTTATTTCTATTTATTTATTTCATATCATATCCATGGATCATTGTACATGATATAGGACAAGTCAATACTTTACAATACAATAAGTATTTGCCACACTTTTCAATGCTGTCATCATTTCTGAGCAGTTCTAAAATTGCCTTTACTTTTAACATTCTTTCACAATTATAACTGTAATTGAATCAGAGGAGGGCCTTGCTGATAGAGTTTTGAAGAAGGACCACATTTTTTTTTTCTTCAGATTAAAACATAACCTAGAATTCAGCTAGGTTGATGTATTTGCTGTGGCATCATATGGTTATTTAGATACTTAATTATGGAGTCAAGTTTGACAGTGGAAGATGAGGGATTAGTGCAGATGAATATAGCTGAGACAGATCTTTGTTTAATTTATAGGTTCTGACTTCCTGCTAGTAGTTTTATCTTAAGAAATTAGTTTAACTAGGGTACAGTGGCTGCAGTTATTATTGTGCATTCTTTACAGAGTGGAGGAATAGGATAACAAACTTTGAATGCCTGTACATCTGTGTATGAGCTAGTACCTGTCAAACGATTTTGATTACAGTTTAGTTTAGTGGTTTCTTTGAAATGAAACATAGTGATGTTTTGGACTGATTCAGCTAGTCAGTGCTTTTACTTTCTTTGAAAATCTGAACTAGCTTTCCCGTCCTCCCTTTAAATGAAAGTTAAAATATTTTAGACAAATATTATGGGCTACTTTTGAGAAATATGGTAGAGTATGATATTTTACTCACTATCAGATATATTTAAATATGCCTTGAAAGGAAAAAAAAAACAATTAAAGTTATATTTGGATATTTTTCAGTTGCTGAATATTCGATACAGATGCTTAAGTAATCAAGTGACTGTTACTTAGCATATGATGTAAGTATGTTGTTTGCATAGCTAATGCTTACCAAGCTGAAAAAAAGTAAATGAGGAACCATTGCAAACTACATATAAATCAGTATCATTTATTTATGTATGTCCTATTTAATGACACTGTCAGTAGAATGTCAAATAAAGCTACTCATATGCACAATTTAACACATTAACAGTTTCTTTAGAAGTTGTAGTAATAAGGCTGGATGAGTAGGACTCAGATCCTGGCAAGATGTTCACCATGTTCAGCTTCCTATTTATTGATTCTTTGCTTGAGGGTAAAAACCATTACAGGAGCTTAGACATTTTTCTTTATTGTTCACACTTATTAGATATTATTAATTTTTTAGTGATTCTTTCTCTGAACCAGTTAACCATATGCAAGTATGCCCGAAAATGGTGAATCATAAACTTATTTAAAGTGAATGGAAATTAAACATAGTATTACTCATATAGTAGAAGTACTGTATAACAACCCAAAAATGGCTTGATTAAATTTAGTATGTGGGTATATTACCAAGTTTGGTTGTCGGTGGGGTATGAAAAACTAATACCAGTAGATACTTTTTAGAAATTTTTAAAATACACCTAAATATGAAGATGAGTTTTCTGAAAATCATACGTTAACAGTTACATAACTTAAGCTTTGTCATATATCTGTGTCTCACTGTCTTAAGTGTTAGGTTTTCTTTTGTATATATTTATTTTATTTTTCCATATATGCTTCTACTTTTTGAGCATTGCTTGATTTACAATATTATTTTATATTATATATGAAGTATATGAAATCCTCTAAAAGTTAGTAATTAGACCATATTTTACAGTGTAACATAAAATAAAATGTAAACAGATGAGATCTTGGCAAGGTATATGCCTTAATTAGTTTCATTTAACAGTATAGGTATTATTTATAAGTAATCACATCCTGTATTAAAGTGATACTTCAGTATTTGCATAGAGGGACTGAGGAAAACAAGAAGAAACCTGTTAGGCCAAAATTTGTTTGTAGGGAGGAGTTCATGAGTATGAAGGAAGTATACCAACTTCTCCAGTGCAAAGTATGATGGGTGTATTAGAAAGTTAGGATACATACTTCATCAATTTTCCTTTGTAAATCAACAATGAAATATTCCAAAAACTTTAAAGCTATATAATTGCTACTTTTCTCCAGATCCAGAAATATTAGTTTGTTTGCTGTTGTTCCCTGCATTTAGATTGCCCTTGGTTACTATAGTTTAACTTTTGCAGAATTTTGCCATTTTACAGGCTGCGATGATAGTGGGAGCCGAGTTTCAGCTGTCATGAAGCGACTGTCACTTGTTTTGCCTCGCAGCTGCAAGGGCAATTGCCACACCTCACCTCCTTACATGAGAGGTATATGACTCCCCATTGCATTGCGCTGGGCTACCGTTGCATTGTCATCCAAAGAGGACGTGCTGCATGAATGTGGTGTCACCCGCAGCATAATCAAAATCACATAAATCTTACCACTATAAAAAACATATCATTCATGTCTCCTTACCTTAGCTTCATGCAGTGAAGAAACTTAAATATCTGAAGGCAAATACTTATTAAATAGTACATTTTAATTTCTGATGAACTGTATTTATGATGTTTAAACTTGTTTCCAAGAAGGAACCACAAAACATGTCATATGATATCTCCATTAAATCAGAAGCTCTATAGATTATTTCTGAAAGGGAATCACAAGAATATCTCACAGTGTTACATAATAACTTATTTTCAAAAAGAATCAGAAGAAGCATTGTGTGATACAGAAATGGCACTTATATACAGTATTAAGAAAAAATATGTTTCCAAAAAGGGTCATACGGATGTCATACCATATTAGTGTAAAATTGCTTTTGGAAATGAAATGGCAAGAATTTCATGCAGTACGGATGCAAAATGTGTTTCAAAAAAGGTGCCATAACAGGTGTCATAAGTATTACTGTAAAATATGTGTAATATTGTTATGAAATTTGTTTCTGAATGAATCACAGACAGTGTTATATAATATTAAAATTACTGTGGTAGCCAACATTACTAAAATTCATATTCTGTTGTCCTGGCTGCTGCATTCTGGGTCCAAATCCCACTAGGGCCTAGATGTTTGCTTTCTTCAGCTCTCATATCATCCCTGTCTTGTATATCGCATAGTTGTGTTAAGTTACTTTGCACAAAAGTGTGGTGTATTACAGAAATTTGGTATGAATGACTGTGTTGCAATCCCTGCTGCCACTTGTTTTATGCCTTCACTTCACACACAACATTTTTATCTTTGATCTGCTTCATTTCTTCTGACATAGTACAAACTGTGTGCTGGATGCAATTGCACTATGTAGTGCTGTGCTTGTTCAATACAAGTTAATAAAATTATATTTTTAGCAAAATTTATGGCACAAGATAGCACAGTTTTTATAGTAGCATATCTCAAAATTTTTATGGACATCTAACCTGTTCTTTGTTTCAAAATATTGCGTGAATTATGCAGCCCTCTTTTCATTGGACTTAAGTAGATGATTAACATTACAGGGTTGTTTTGTTTCCAGAACAGTACAGATATGGAGATGATGTGACATTTATATCATTTATATTTTATTTTTGTTCTTCTTTTCCATCAAATTTATCCTTAACATTGGAGAACACTGAAATATTGCAAAAATAGGCAGAGACCTTCACGTTTGTGCAGTATGGGATTCAAATGTGTTGTGTTACATATATGATGGGACCTACATAATGTTCCATCTTGCACAGTTATGTGTTTAAGATCTGAGAGATATGTTGTACTTAAATGTAGGAACATCAAAGTCAAAGTCATGTTGCAGCTGACGGTCAGTCAGTCTGTCTGGCTTGGTGTCGAGCCCCAGCTGGGGCTCATGACCAGATATTTCTTTTGAATGAAAGTTACTGTCTTGTCTATGTGGGGCGCCCTCTCTGACGAGAGGTTGGGTCTGTCATTTGTCAGTCAGTCTGTATTAATATGTCCACTGTCTGTATTTACATAAATTTACAATACACACTTGTTTCTTACTTTTATGTACAATATATACAAGGCCTCTGTCAGTCCAGGCTCAGTACAGCAGATTACGCTCTATTTCCAGTATTATTCGCTACCATGGCAGTCTAGTCTCTTGAACGGTCGTATGCCTGACCGCCGCCAAGTTTAAGCCTCTTATACTTTCTGTGGCGGGCTTTGCCTTGTCCGATGTTGCAAACATTCTCATTCTCATGATTTTGTATGACCTCTGCTTGTTGATGTAGGAACATAAATATTGTTGAACTTTGCAGTCTATTTCCATCAGAACACCTAGGATAATTCAAAGAAAACTGCAAGTCAGGCAGTAAATGTTGGAATTTTTCTCTTTCTTCATACAATATCAGATGTATTGTAGCAGACTGCAGGCTTTAGTAAAGCATATGTATAAATCAAGTTTAAGTAATGATATTTTAAATTATCAAGTCTTGCTAGCAGCATTGGGTACACCAGGTAGTTGAATATTGCATTATTCATATTGTGCATGATAATGACTCAGGTCAGAAATAGCTGTTGATTTTACAGTCGTATTAGAAAATTTCCCTGTTAGTACTCACAGTAAAATATATTTTGAATCATTGCTGCAGGCTAGTAATCCAGCTGATGTCTTCTGGGTTATACCCTGTAATAAACGTTGAATGTTTAATTCCACCTCCTTTTACATTTCACAATACATAGCCTTTCTCTGTCTCATTTGAATGTCTTAAAGTCTGAAGCGTCATCCAGTAATGTACAGATGCATGAAGTAAAGCCCACAGAAATTTGTGAGTGAACAAAAAATTGGCAGTTATTAACTTATACCATAAATGGAAGTAAAGTTAATCGGTTTTCTCCCAGTTCATACGTTTTACTTGAGACCAGTAAAATGGAATTTCTTTTGGATACATTTTTGTAGCACTCTTCATAAACCTTGAAATAAAAATATTTTGGTAAAGTTACAGGGTCAATATTGCACTGTAAATTATTATAATTCTGTCATTGTTCCCACAAAACTAACAATTAAGCAATGTCGCACACCAAGTGCATTAGGGAATGCTGGGATTACAACTTTGTTCCAACATCTCGACCTCCATTTCATACATGATCACTGTTATTACCAGCCTTACACTCTTGAATGAGTAAGTTGGCTCAAGTGGTATTGTTTTAAACTTACATATGGAAGGTGCTCAGTTTAGACCTTCCAGGACACTGATTATTCTGGCAGTGTAATAGGTAAACTTCAGTAGTGCAACACAAATCTTAAAACTTCGCGGACCGGTGATTTAAATATTTAAATCACCCTGGAGACTGGCGTTTTTAAACCTACTACCCTAACTTGTGCACTGTTCACTTTAAAAATTAATATAAAATCTCCTAATTAATTTCATGAACTAAAATTTTTGGAGGAGACTTACCAGAGCTCCTAGAAGTGCTTCAGAGTGTGATATTTCTGGAAAAATTCCCCTCTGTGAAGAGGCATGACGCAGAACTTGCAGATGTAATCTCACCCCTGGATCACCAGTAAACTTTCCCAAAGTGGGTGTTTTGTCCACTTTACCCCATGTGGCTGTCCCCGCAATGCTAGCACTCGCACTTTCATTGGAGCTCTCACTTTCACTTTCACTTTCTCTTCTGGTCACGATATTTTGGGGGCCCCTGTCACTGCCACTGACACTGCCCTCACAATCAGAAGACGAAGCAGTTGGCAAGTCAGATAACTTTTGTCTCACCCCTGGATCACCAGTAAACTTTCCCAAAGTGGGTGTTTTGTCCACTTTACCCCATGTGGCTGTCCCCGCAATGCTAGCACTCGCACTTTCATTGGAGCTCTCACTTTCACTTTCACTTTCTCTTCTGGTCACGATATTTTGGGGGCCCCTGTCACTGCCACTGACACTGCCCTCACCATCAGAAGACGAAGCAGTTGGCAAGTCAGATAACCATCGGAGATCAAATCACAGATTTCTTCTTCTCCGAGAACTCGCGTGGCCTTCAACTGCTTTCATCTCTGAGCCATGTTGACACAGAATATCTTGCCTCACACATAGAAGCTTCGACTTGAACAAAGGGACTTTTCTTTAGAGTGAAAGGGGAATAGAGAGTGGTCACGTTGCTGACTCGGAAAACAAACGTTCCGAAGGTCAGCTACGCAGTTCTTTTACAGACACGTGGCCACCAAAGCGAGGAATAGTGTGTTGCAACATAACGTGTCCTAAAGCCTAAATCTAGGCGACTGGTCTGCCATGTTTAAAACCCAAATGCCTAGGCCTAGGCGTCTGGTCCGTGAAGTGTTAATTAAAAGCTTTAGCTTAGGTTACTACCAAGACAAGGTTTTATCACTATATTTCAGATGATTATAATCTGTACTTAACCAGTTAACTGATAAAGTTGTAGCAGAACAGGAATATTCATCACAATTAATACTAAAAACCACCACCTTTAATCCTCAGAACTTGATTCATCTTAATATTATTCTCCTGTGTGTTGAAGTGACTGTTTTTCAACTAGTTTCTCCTTGCATTGTAGCCTCCTAGTTTTCACTATCCTAACAATATTAGGTGACTTATATCATGAATTATCTTGCTGTGTAATATCATGAATTGAAATTACTTCACCTTTCTTAAGTCCACATATTTTCCTGAGCACATTTTATTTTGTCAGACACTTTTGATTTATGTTTGTGATGGTGTTTCACACCCATGCAAAACAAGTGGCAAAATTGTTGTTCTATAATTCCTGATCATCAGCATTTTGGAAACTAAACAGAATGATAACATTTTTTAACTGAATAATAAATATTTCAAGAACTTACCCTGTTCTTATTTCACCTGTATGTCATTTTTGTTAGTGTTGTTCCTATGTGCTTTGGTTCTTAATATATTTACATATGATTTATTGTATATAATTATGAATTTGTTTGCTGTTTGTATAGTGCAGGTGTACCGTAAATAGATTAACAACTTGGGCTAGAGTTCTTTAACATTATTTATTGTTTAAGAATCAATACTCTGTCAAATTCATCACTGCACTGGCCATAGTTACATAATTTCATTCAGTTATCTCAAGTTTTCTGCTTTTTGCTTCTTTGTTACCACTACAACCTATATGTGCATATATGAACAGATTTCTTAAGCCTTTTGGGAAACAGTTTCTGTCTTCTTTGCTTGCATGCAACTCTGATTACTGGTACAGAAATAAATACATTTGTCATCAGTCTAGTGCACAAAGTATGTAGGTGAATGAAGGCTTCAGTCTCTGACAGTTTCATCAGTTTCAGGCAGATTCATCACTTCTTTTTCTCAAAGCTTATATAATCTTCAACCCTTTCTTTCATTCCTTGTTTCAGTTTTCTTTAGTA